GTGGATAGGATACACTACGGACAGGTATGCTTCACATAGTCTCTTTCCTATTCCCATATCTCTCGCTTATTATTCTCCCTTAATGTTCAATACCGAGCAAAAGGTAATGATTTTCTAAATTATTGATTGGATATTGACTGAATGAACTTGTGGCATTGACATTCATATCATTCGATGATTGTATTCGTATCTAACTGATGTACATTTGGTTCGGTTGTTGTTTTAAACAGCACACAGCAATATTCCAGCTATATGGTGGAATAAGGAATATGTTGACATGTTTTCGTGAAATAACTATGCATTGCTTTCTCTTCCGTGGCGGTACGTTGTAACAGATTATAGCATCAGTCTTGATTTGGTTAATGCAACATCAAAGCTGAACTATTGCAACCTTTTAGCATAAGAATTAGGTTACCATAAATTAAAAATCTTATATATTTTGGGAGTTCCCAAAATGAGAAAACACAAAATGCGTTTTATATGTTGATGTAGAAAAATGTCAACTTTTATTGCTTTTGGTGTCATAACTTCAGAAAGTTAGAACATGAACATGGCCTGCTTTTAGAATATGTGACACGGTGTCACCCCTTAAGCCATGAGGCTTTCAAAACTTGTCAATCAGACCTACTTCCAGTGAACCATACCATCCGATTTGACGATTAGATGTTGTACACAAACACACATTAACAGCTCGGAGATCAGAGTTCTAACGTCATGACGTTTGAAAAGAATCTGCGTTTCTTCTAATGTTCCTCATGGTTAGTTTCAAATGGTTACCACAGCAACCAGCTAGTCATGTGATGTAATGGTGGACGCATAGGGGGCGTTGGTAGGGGCACCTGCCATGACGTTAATGGTGAATTTAACGTTTACGTCAAGTCATGTTTGTCACAGAGAGAGAAAAGAGACGTGTCAGGAAACTGAAAGGAAGGGCATATGCTTCAGTATAAAGGCGATCCGAAAGTGCCCGTTAAGTGCGTACATGGAGCATATATATATATATTTAAATATTTAGTTAGAAAGGTCATCGGGTGAATAACCGTGAAGTATTGCAATATTTTGCGATTCAGGTACCCGCATTGCGATACACATTGCGATATATTGGAAATCGAGTGTTTGACAGTAAGTGAAACTAATTGTACATGTCGATCCTATTTTCTACATTATAAGTTCTTATAAATATATATGTTATGGTTCTGATAACAGCAATCTCAAAATTTGGGTGCATAGTCAGGGATTCTATTTTCTTCTTTTTTTATACAATCTATTTATAATATTACAGTATGCCGTTTTGTCATTATTGAAGGAAAACATTTGTTGTGAATGAATGTAGATTTTAATTTAAACCATAAGCAAAACCACAAAAGCTTCATAGATGTTCTTTACCCAATATACCGGTTCTCAGAAAAACTATTGCAATACATATCGTCTGAAAAGCGTATTGTGGTCTACCGGTAAACCGGTAATACTGTGCAGTCCTACAATTTAGAGGTTGGGCAAAATATGTGGAAATAGCAGGTATTAAAGGTTTATACATCATGTGACTGGATGTTCTGGTCCACTGATCTCTTGATTGTCCGATTCATATATACGTCGTGGTCGCATGGTAGGAGTACCGTTAAGGAAAGGAAACATATGTTCCATTGCAATCTGTTTCTTGCTCATAGGTAAATTGTCTGTTAAAGGTTTATATTCAGCCTCTGTACTCGATGGTAGTTTGAATGCAAAAGGGGCGGTGGGGTAGCCCAATGGTTAAAGCGTTCGCTCGTTAGAAAGTGAAATCCCAAATAGAACATACGTTACATTTGACCACTTCCTAAACAGTATACTGTATTCAGAATGGCGTTGCAAGTGTTCTATCAAAAGTTGCCAAAATCCGTCGCCGGGAAAACGTATAATGTTTATATTATGACATGAATCAAATACATGCTTGAGATATGGGCCTGCGGCCTACAATACTGAAGAAATTCAGTCTGACAGTCTGTCTTTTGTATACAGAATATTTAGTATATATACAGAATACCTTCCAGCAACGTCATAGAAAGACCATAAATCTGCATGTTTCAAATATCTGTTGCAATGCCACGTACATGCACGAATGCATAGCCCTGCAAAAGTCATCCAGTGTTATCCCGACACGTGTTTAGCCAGGGTATATGTCAACATGGCATGTCAGTGTTATAAATACATCCCATGTCGGACAGCGGCCTGTACACAACAGTGACGACTGAGGAAGTTTACAATGTACAGATAATTTATGTGATTGTCTTGACGTATTGCACTAGGGACATGACAAGGTGATCACTATGGTCCTATTCTGTCTATTGAAATACGAGAATTGTTCATTCCGTTCCAGTTCTGTGCGAGGTAAGAGTTTTTATTCTACTCCCTTTCTTTCCCTAATTATATAAAGAGGATATAATTTCCTTTAATTGTGTTTCAATCAGCCTGTATGTTTGCTATGTTTAATGTGTATCGTGTTTCCAGTTTGGTAAGAGATCGAGTTGGTTTCTATCACGATATATCTGCTAAGGGATTTTAACAACGCTATAAACGTCTATGGCCTGCATCACTGGACTGATTTCCCCCAACATCATGCTGACAGTCCAGGATAAAACTAAAATACTTCTCAGATCGAGGCGGTGGAGTAGCCTAGTGATTAAAGCGTTCGCTCGTCACGTCAGGTTCGATTCCCCACATGGGTACAATGTGTGAAGCCCATTTCTGGTGTCCCCCGCCGTGATATTACTCACTTACTTTGGGCATTAAACCAACCACACTCAGACAGTACTATACTGAGCGTATTTAGGGTTATTGAGCCATGCGATAATGGCAATAATATTCACGTTTCGACTTTGTGTGCAAAATTCTGCTGAGTCGTCATTATCGCCTGTACATCGATGAAATGATCGTGATTCTCTGTTAGCTTCGTACATCAATGAAATAATCGTGATTCTCTGTGAGCTTCGTACATCAATGAAATAATCGTGATGCTCTTTGAGCTTCGTACATCAATGAAATAATCGTGATTCTCTGTGAGTTTCGTACATTAATGAAATAATCATGATTCTCTGTGTGCTTCTCAAAAGAATCAAAATGGGATAAGCACGATGTCCTTTGTACACATTATTCTATCTCCATGCAAGGGGCTGTCATCATTCATTTTAAGACTGACAGCCAAAGACCGTTACCTAAGTAAGTAAACTAAGCGGGCAGATGACGTTGCCTTAATGTAATCAATGTCGCACACGTGTCCGGTCCATGCATTTGACACTGGTCCTGCTGAACCATGCTGAAATTTTGCAGACGTTTTCTACTCCGATTACACAATCTTAAAACAATGCGTCCTACTTGATTTGGTGCCACTGAAAATTCATCAGCCTAGGGAAAAGAAGAATATATTGGATGTGTGAAGTGCAAAGCATTCAATGCTTATGGTTGTATGTGAACACATCCAGGCAGCATATTTCTGCAGACATCAAAGTGACTAGCTATTCTCTGTTGATGAAAATTAACAAAAGTGGTCAGGCACCTAATCGCCAGAACACAAAGTCAGACGCCTAGACCGCTCAGCGATTAGGTGCCTGATTCTGAGGGTGTGGGTTCGAATCCCGATGGGACTCAACCCAACAAAAGTACTAGAATCTGTACTTTACAAAGAAAGTGTTATCAAAATATAACATATATTACATTTGACCACTTTCTACTGACTGACTGAGTTTGCTTTTACGCCGCTTTTAGCAATATTCCAGCAACATCACGGCGGGGGCACCAGAAATGGGCTTCACACATTGTGCCCATGTGGGGATTCGAACCCGGGTCTTTGGTGTGACGAGCCAACGCTTTAACCACTAGGCTACCCCTCCGCCCCGACCACTTTCTAAATGGCATTGTGTATTTCATATGAAATTAGTAATACACGAACATTCACATTTAAATAGTTAAAATGGTTTCGCTCATTTGAAGTGGCGGCGGCCATGAACTGGAATGAGTTACCAGTTCACCTTAGAACAAAAGCCCAACAGTCACATGTTTCAAAGCAAACCTAAAGACATACCTATTTCTCTATGTTTTACAAGTGACTCCTAAATTCTATCTTGTCTGCGCTATGATCATGCTGTCGGCGTGTTTAATATAAATGGACTAATTATTATTATTATTATTATTATTATTATTATTATGTTTTACAGATTTAAGATAATATGCAGCAGAGAGGGTTCGGGTGATCCTGGCACAGTCAGGCTGGTAAGGCTCATCATCAGCTCAGGGCCCTTGCCCCTCTACACGCAGCCCAGACAGCGAATGGGACTTCTCCCAGGAAACGCTGCCTAGTCGAACCACCAAGAACTTTCCGGAGAATATGAAGGCTCCCACAACACTGCAGCCTTCTGCATTACCCAGAGTGTCAGAAGGGCTGTACTCCCGGTGGAGAACCCGGGCACTCTCCTGATCTGCGCCAAGAGATCAGGAGGTACCAAACCAAGGGCACCGAGAAAAATGGGGAGCCTGACGACAGTGTACTTGGGATGCATGCGAGACATTTCAAAGGCGAGGTCCGCATATTTAGCATGCTTTTCCTGAATCTTGCCAATCACATTGGTGTCAAAAGGGACAGAAAAATTCAATGATATAAATAAATTCATTGGCTTTATCAAAGAGGACAAGATCAGGTTTGTTAGCTGGAATTCTTCTGAGGCTGTATATGGGCCTATTCCACAGAAGTTTGAAAGCATCATTTTCCATGACGCCCTGGACATGTTCAGGGTCGTACCATGGATGGACCTCGGAGTCAAAGCCACAGGCATGTTGGAGACGGTAGTAAAAGCAACGAGCCATGCCATCATGTCGTTTAAGATATGCTGTTTGTGCCAAGGAAGGGCATCCACTGACAAGGTGTTGGACTATATTATTATTATTATTATTATTATTATTATTATTATTATTATTATATATATGTTATATATAGTTATGTACTATATCCTTCTCTTTTCAGCACGAGAAATGGGCCCTGTAACACAACTGATAGTCCTCATCCTTACCCACTGCTTCTCGGGGGTCATAAGTCTTGTGGGTGAAATGCCAATGTTTGACTACATGTGTGCAGAGGAAGGGGTGTACCCACGGTACAACCCCTGGGACTGTGGGGCGTATATCCTGTGTAACACTGGTAGAGCCTATCCATTCCAGTGTCCCCCCGGGACGGTGTATAGCAGGGCGAATGGCCTGTGTGATTGGCCCCACAAGGTGGACTTGAGACAATGCTCCAACAATCCTCTGGGTAAGATCATATTGTTTCACGAGTAGGGGGCGGTTGGTTAGCTCGGTGGCTAAAGTATTCATCCGTCACGCAGAAGGACTGGGTTCGATTCCCCACAAAAATGGACCCAAGATGTTAAGCCGGATTATATTTTACCGAGCCATAATATTGCTATGACAAACACGGGGTAGTTCTATAGTTATACGGGTATAAAACCTCTTTATTACAATATATGCACGACGTCTATAGCGCTATACGAATATAGCGCTATGAGCATTCACCTAGTGAATGGAGTTTAGCGCAGTATAAATGCACTTATTATTATTATTACTATTTTTATTATTCCGTTTCAGTGTCGATGTAACACCGTTATAGCACCTTCTAAATGCCACTCAAAGAGGTTATTGCTAGGAACTTTCTGTGTGTAAAACCATGCTCAGCTTGTCAATGCGGGTGGATGTGCCTACACAGAGGTCAATAATAAAGCATAGCTCCGCCCCCTTTATGATCTTATATGATCACATACAAACGTTTTGTACCTTTGAAGATCCAGGTTAGAATTGGTCTTCAGCAACCAAGCCAAACGGGATCGGATAGTCAGGCTTGGTTGACATGTCATCGTGTCCCAAGGTCGTAGATCGATGCTCATTCTGTTGATCACTGGATTATCTGTCCAGACTCGATTACCATATAGCTAAACAAATCATATGGGGTTCACCATCATGCTTATATCCTTGAGCACGCCTAAGGTGCTGACAATTCTAGAAATGTTATCAAGTCACGATCATAGGTTAACTATTCCCGTAAGAGACGCAACTTCAGCTGATTATGGTACAGGTCGTGTGTGCAGTATTTAAAAGGGACGTGTCAGTGGGTGTATCTCTGTATAATAATAATTATCTTTATTTCATACTGAAAAGGCCACAGGCCTATAGTACATATACATATATAATGGGGAATTACATAAATAAAAATATTTACTAGAGTTGTGACGATATATCGTAGTATCGATAATCGTGATTCTTTTTCTGACAATAAATATATCGATACTTTTTTCCGTATCGTGATGTGTATCGTTGACCTTACAATTGTGAATTTTCACCAGAAATTGACGGTTATGTCAAAATTTACTCTGTTTCTTGTTATCAAAATACACGTTTTTAAAGATAATACCAATAAGTGCTTTTTGCGCCTGGAGCGAAGCATATTTGACATGCATGTTCCAAGACAAACCATTGGTAAAATACAATCCCAAATATATATAATAGCTAACACAGTCTAGATGTATACCCTTAAACAACCACTTTTCTTTTTTAGAAGAGATGTGTAGAAGAGATGTTGTTGCTAAGTGTTTTCCTTTATAGTGGCTTAAACAACAAACAAACAAACATTTTGGGCGAGAACGGTGTTGACCAGGAATACGATGATGTTTTAACCTTACCAGAACCCTTCATTACAGTATGTAAGACTTTCTGTAACAGTTTGATAGTCACTTTCTGTCTGTACGTCTTTATGTGTACGCTTCTTTACAATTTTCATACTACAGGTCGATTCGATCACATGTGTAAATGGAATCCAGGTGCAAAACTACCAAGTCAGCTGAGCTGTTCCCAGTATTTCGACTGTTCCCAGTCCACCAGCAGCGTCGAGTACGTTAAATACGTCATGGAGTGTCCGTACCCGCAGCTATTCTCGGATGTCCATGGAAGATGTTTGCACTTCAAGTTAGTTCAATGTGGCAAGAGGCCCATGCCCGTGGCTCCATGTAAGTAGATTTTATCCTGAGTATAACTTATAACTGATATATTTTACATTTGTGCTGGTTTAACTGCAACGTGTAAACCGAAGGCGACAAATCCCCTTCCACATACATAAGATGTTACTGCTAAGAGCAGAGTCGCTTGTACAATGTGTTTATGAAACATTCCCGAAAAGGTGAGCGTGTCCTGCCTGACCGGTTGCACCCGTTTTAAACATGTGCAAACGGCTAGTCCACTGTTCATCTGAACACATTCGGGTACGTGTGGTGGGTTCTTCTCTAGAGATGACCCGAACAGAAGGTTCGCACCAAATGTTATCGTGACGAGTTGACGTGCCAAAAAAGATAGCGATTGACTTTCGATAATCGTGAACCTTGAAAACGCGGAATGCGATTTTGTCATCTGTTCCAAAAGCACTGGGTTTAAGGTGAATATTTAGTTGGTGGGAAGTCCACAATACGAAGATGCAGTTTGAAACATGGATGCTGGTTCTATAATATAACTGCTGCCGACTTGCGCAACCATGTGTGTATGTATCAGGAATACAGATATATATGTGCACATAGGGCGATGGGTCACGTGTGCATTTCCATGCTTCGCGGATACACATATGTGCAGACATCATGGATATATACGTGTGTGCATGCATCATATGTACACTAATGTCCATGCGTCATGTATACAAGTCAGTGTATGCATCATGGATATACGTGTGTGCATGCACCATGGATATATACGTGTGTGCATGCATCATGTATACAAGAATCAGTGCATGCATCCTGGATATATACGTGTGTGCATGCATCATAGTACTATACAAGTCAGTGCATGCATCCTGGATATATACATGTGTGCATGCATCATGTAATAAAGTCAATGCATGCATCATGGATATATACATGTGTGCATGCGTCATGTATCTAAAGTCAGTGCATGCACCATGGATATATACGTGTGTGCGTGCGTCATGTATACATAAAGTCTGTGCATGCATCATGGATATATACGTGTGTGCATGCACCATGTATACTAAAGTCAGCGCATGCATCATGGATATATACGTTTTTGCATGCACCATGTATACAAGCCAGTGCATGCATCATGGATATATACGTGTGTGCATGCATCATGTATACAAGTCAGTGCATGCATCATGGATATATACATGTGTGTATGCATCATGTATACAAGTCAGTGCATGCATCATGGATATATACATGTGTGTATGCATCATGTATACAAGTCAGTGCATGCATCATGGATATATACGTGTGTGTGTATGCAGCATGTATACAAGTCAGTGCATGCATCATGGATACAAGTCAGTGCATGCATCATGTATACAAGTCAGTGCATGCATCATGGATATATACGTGTGTGCATGCACCATCTATACAAATCAGTGCATGCATCATGGATATATACGTGTGTGCATGCATCATGTATCTAAGTCAGTGCATGCATCATGGATATATACGTGTGTGCATGCACCATGTCTACTAAAGTCAGTGCATGCATCATGGATATATACGTGTGTGCATGCATCGTAACTATACAAGTCAGTGCATGCACCATGGATATATATACGTGTGTGCGTGCGTCATGTATACAAAGTCTGTGCATGCATCATGGATATATACGTGTGTGCATGCACCATGTATCTAAGTCAGCGCATGCATCATGGATATATACGTTTTTGCATGCACCATGTATACAAGCCAGTGCATGCATCATGGATATATACGTGTGTGCATGCATCATGTATACAAGTCAGTGCATGCATCATGGATATATACGTGTGTGTATGCATCATGTATACAAGTCAGTGCATGCATCATGGATATATACATGTGTGTATGCATCATGTATACAAGTCAGTGCATGCATCATGGATATATACGTGTGTGTGTATGCAGCATGTATACAAGTCAGTGCATGCATCATGGATACAAGTCAGTGCATGCATCATGTATACAAGTCAGTGCATGCATCATGGATACTATACGTGTGTGCATGCACCATCTATACAAGTCAGTGCATGCATCATGGATATATACGTGTGTGCATGCATCATGTATACAAGTCAGTGCATGCATCATGGATATATACGTGTGTGCATGCACCATGTATACAAGTCAGTGCATGCATCATGGATATATACGTGTGTGCATGCATCATGTATATACAAGTCAGTGCATGCATCATGGATATATACATGTGTGCATGCACCATGTATACAAGTCAGTGCATGCATCATGGATATATGCGTGTGTGCATGCACCATGTATATCTAAGTCAGTGCATGCATCATGGATATATACGTTTTGCATGCACCATGTATACAAGCGAGTGCATGCATCATGGATATATACATGTGTGTATGCAGCATGTATACAAGTCAGTGCATGCATCATGGATATATACATGTGTGTATGCAGCATGTATACAAGTCAGTGCATGCATCATGGATATATACGTGTGTGTGTATACATGCAGCATGTATACAAGTCAGTGCATGCATCATGGATATATACGTGTGTGCATGCATCATGTATACTAAGTCAGTGCGTGCGTCATGTATACAAAGTCAGTGCATGCGTCATGTATACAAGTCAGTGCATGCATCATGGATATATACGTGTGTGCATGCGTCATGTATACAAGTCAGTGCATGCATCATGGATATATACGTGTGTGCATGCGTCATGTATACAATAGTCCAGTGCATGCATCATGGATATATACGTGTGTGCATGCATCATGGATATACATCCCCGTGTAGTCAGTGCATGCATCATGTATACAAAGTCAGTGCATGCATCATGGATATATACATGTGTGCATGCATCGTATATACGCATGCATCATGGATATATACGTGTGTGCATGCGTCATGTATAAAGTCAGTGCATGCATCATGGATATATACGTGTGTGCATGCACCATGCGTCATGTGACAAGTCAGTGCATGCATCATGGATATATACGTGTGTGCATGCATCATGTATACAAGTCAGTGCATGCATCATGGATATATACGTTTTTATGCATGCACCATGTATACTAAGCCAGTGCATGCATCATGGATATATACGTGTGTGCATGCATCATGTATACAAGTCAGTGCATGCATCATGGATATATACGTGTGTGTATGCATCATGTATACAAGTCAGTGCATGCATCATGGATATATACGTGTGTGTATGCATCATGTATACAAGTCAGTGCATGCATCATGGATATAAACATGTGTGTATGCAGCATGTATACAAGTCAGTGCATGCATCATGGATACAAGTCAGTGCATGCATCATGTATACAAGTCAGTGCATGCATCATGGATATATACGTGTGTGCATGCACCATGTATACTCTAAAGTCAGTGCATGCATCATGGATATATACGTGTGTGCATGCATCATGTATACAAGTCAGTGCATGCATCATGGATACATACGTGTGTGCATGCACCATGTATACAAGTCAGTGCATGCATCATGGATATATACGTGTGTGCATGCATCATGTATACAAGTCAGTGCATGCATCATGGATATATACGTGTGTGCATGCACCATGTATATATACAAGTCAGTGCATGCATCATGGATATATACGTGTGTGCATGCACCATGTATATACAAGTCAGTACATGCATCATGGATATATACGTTTTTGCATGCACCATGTATACAAGCGAGTGCATGCATCATGGATATATACGTGTGTGTATGCATCATGTATACAAGTCAGTGCATGCATCATGGATATATACGTGTGTGTATGCACCATGTATACAAGTCAGTGCATGCATCATGGATATATACGTGTGTGTGTATGCATCATGTATACAAGTCAGTGCACGCATCATGGATATATACATGTGTGTATGCATCATGTATACAAGTCAGTGCATGCATCATGGATATATACATGTGTGTGTATGCAGCATGTATACAAGTCAGTGTATGCATCATGTATACAAGTCAGTGCATGCGTCATGTATACAAGTCAGTGCACGCATCATGGATATATACGTGTGTGCATGCGTCATGTATACAAGTCAGTGCATGCATCATGGATATATACGTGAGTGCATGCACCATGTATACAAGTCAGTGCATGCATCATGGATATATACGTTTTTGCATGCACCATGTATACAAGCCAGTGCATGCATCATGGATATATACGTGTGTGCATGCATCATGTATACAAGTCAGTGCATGCATCATGGATATATACGTGTGTGTATGCATCATGTATACAAGTCAGTGCATGCATCATGGATATATACGTGTGTGTATGCATCATGTATACAAGTCAGTGCATGCATCATGGATATATACATGTGTGTATGCATCATGTATATACAAAGTCAGTGCATGCATCATGGATATATACGTGTGTGTGTATGCATCATGTATACAAGTCAGTGCATGCATCATGGATACATACGTGTGTGCATGCACCATGTATACAAGTCAGTGCATGCATCATGGATACATACGTGTGTGCATGCATCATGTATACAAGTCAGTGCATGCATCATGGATACATACGTGTGTGCATGCACCATGTATACAAGTCAGTGCATGCATCATGGATACATACGTGTGTGCATGCATCATGTATACAAGTCAGTGCATGCATCATGGATATATATACATGTGTGCATGCATCATGTATACAAGAAGTCAGTGCATGCATCATGGATATATACGTGTGTGTGTATGCATCATGTATACAAGTCAGTGCATGCATCATGGATATATACATGTGTGCATGCATCATGTATACAAGTCAGTGCATGCATCATGTATACAAGTCAGTGCATGCGTCATGTATACAAGTCAGTGCATGCATCATGGATATATACGTGTGCATGCATCATGTATACAAAGTCAGTGCATGCATCATGGATATATACGTGTGTGCATGCATCATGTATACAAGTCAGTGCATGCATCATGGATATATACGTGTGTGCATGCATCATGTA